CAAAGAATAAATGTGGCGAGCGTGGGGAAACGCACATTTTTTCATTATTGTGATCAAAGCCCAATGATGTACCTAAATTGGTACTTACGGTATTAATCATTGATTATGACAGGGTGAGCTTAATTTTTCTCTCGAACTCGCTGCACGAACTGAGAAAGTAAAAACTTGTATTTATCTCCCACGCATTTCGTCTGACAATAGTAGACTTCATCAAGGAGTTTTACAAGTAGGGTAAATAAGCTTGCTCATATACGAATAGTAAATAAGTTGTCTCTTTACTATTGAAGCCAGTGGATATAATTCGCCAGGTGCGCCTACTGTGTTATACATGCGTGACATTTTTCGGACGTTACACGTACGAGTACGTAATCTGCTTGAGGGTCACATATTTAGTGTAAATATTTGATCCCTCGACGTTACGTAATGTCTCTAGTTTACAGAGGTCTTAGAAAGCTTCATTACTTGGATTTGCCTTCTACGCGTAGAAGGCTACAAGCGAATTTCTCGGGTGTAAATTGCTTTTGATTTCTCAACTGATGTTGTCGCAAACAGCTTTTGGGAGTCACGAAACAAAAAAACTTATCGGGACCTAGTTTCATGTACTAATGGAAGTAAATGGCAAATAAAACATATTCTCTTGAGAAATAAAGTTATAAATAACAGGGGTTCTTTGAAACAAATAGTGATAGAAAAGGTTTCTGTTCTGGTCAATATTGACTTTTACTTCCAAATCTGAGGGAACGCGCCAAGGGAATAAAAAAAACATACATGTGTGATAATGCAAGGAGGAGAATAAAAATACAAATAAAGAAAAAGGAGAAAACATAGAAACCCGTGTTGCAGCGCGCAGATATCTTTTGAGCCAGACCTACACACTTATGCCCGACACCACGCAAAGAAACTCGAAAGAGTGCTGTATATGAACTTGCTCGCACGTGCACGCAGGAAAGGCCATGACAATCAGCGAAAATAATGGCAAACGCAGATGATATTTGCAGTCAAAAAACAGGCAAATAAGATGACAGAAGGATAAAGAACTTTCTGGAGGTGTCTTCTTAAAAAAAAGAAAAACAATTTTTACTTCTCATGAAAGGTCACGCAGTCACGCTACAAATACTATTTCTACGTGGAATTTCTTGATGGTGGAAAGTGGAAAAACCATTTTCCAGTCTTATTTTCTGGAAACATGGCGTAGTTAATGAATTTTATGGGGCTATTGATATTTCCTATCCAATGAGAGAAGCAGAGTTTCCCGAAAAGCCGAAATTGTTACACTCGGGAACTTGTACGTCAACAAGCACGCGGCATGTGAATTTAAAATCTCCTCTCCTGTTACAGTTTCCTTATTGTGAACTGTGCGATAATGATAATCAACAATCAAATTGTAGACTAATGAATGTTTTGGTTTTGTACAAGTGCCCTATTTCCTGATTTTAGCAAATCTTTAAAATAATGACAGGAGAAAGAAACGCTACGATTTTCCCATCGATTTTTTTGTAAACAGCGATTTGTTTATTTAGCACTCGAGAAAAGTCAAAAACTCAAAAACTTTACCTAAAATGGTGGTTTGTTTACTTAACAATAAAGGTAGGGTTAATTTTTAAGTTAAAATCGATATATTTAAATGAATCAAAACTGAAGTAGAGACCAAACACGTCGAGTTTTGTCCCAATAGCGTGCGATTTGCAGTAGGAGTACAGCAAGGAAAATGGCCTAACTCCGTGAAACTGCAAGCTATATATTTTGGTCTGGCGCGCTCGCTTTTCACGGGCCAAAAATAATATTTTACATAATAAACACGAAGAATTTCTCGTTGAAAATAGCTCTTTTATTTTATGTACATTTGTATACCCTCGATGTTATGGTCGTCTGAAATATAGCAAAATTCAGCGTACAAACGGAATAGAAAATATAGTGTACTTTACGCTTTACAAACGAAAGAAAGTTCAGTTAGAGATGAAATATAGTTGCAAAGCTACTCCAAGGGATGAAAAACAACTTATGAAAAAATGAATCCAAGATAATTTTCCGCTGTCTTGTACGAGCGTTGTGAAAATGCACTAAAAGCCCAATTATGCAAATTAGGTACGTTTTGGCCGATTTCGAACTTTCCTATTTTTTTCCAAAATAAAAACTGGCTGGAACTTTTGAATATTATTTTTGAAAAAAAGTTGAATTTTTGCTTCTGTCGCCGGATTCTCGAAAATTACTGACAACCTCTCTTAACAAACTTGCTGAAAGTACGTTTGTTCAAAGCAATGGCCATTTGAGCTCCGGCGAATGAGCGCGGAACAAGGAAAGGACATCCTACTTCCCAGTGAGAAGATGACATGCACCTAGAAGGTTAGTAGCTTTATTTCTTTCCTCGACAAAGTTTGACGGTGATGTATTTAGTCTAGTTAACGCCTCCACGAGGCTCGAGAGTGATGTCAAGTCCAGTCAATGCCTCCTCCCTACAATGTGATTCCTCACAATTTTGGAGGAAGTTTACTGACGAGCAAACCAGTCATAAACTTAGCTTAACGAGTCACCTGGTGGAAAATGACTTTGTGAAGAGGGAAATCGTCTGGGAAAGAGTGCGAATTGATTAAAGATCACAGAAACTTGGGCCTATAAATGGTGAAGAGGACGAAGAAGAATTAAAGATATGTAAAAAATCATTAACTGCCAAGGTGTGTCTAGAAATGCGTCGCACGAGGCAAGGCACGTGGAAAAGGAAGTGACGCCACAACAGACATTGCCTCTGTTCCCTCTTAGACGCCAATTGGGAACGCTTAAAGTGAAGGTGCACAAATGGAAGTGGAATTTAGACTTCTGCTGGCCAATGTAAATTCTTTATCAATACCATTCATTTTTCATAACTATCAACACTTCAAGTTCATAAGAAAATGATGCCATGCAATGAAGCTGGTTTCGCAATAAAGGTTTCAGCGACACATAAAATGAAACTCTAATTGAAGTCAGAATATTGTTCATGAGTATGCCTCAGTTCGTAGAAGAAAAAGACCACGTGATTTAGAATAATTTACTTGGGTGGAGCAGGGCTTAATCGCGCCAGCTCCCTGAATGGGTGTGACGAGCCCTAATTTTAACCGTCTGTTTCAAGCGCTTGCCACGAACCGAAATTTATGATTACTGCATAGTCCCCAACTACACTTATTCTTCCTCCCCTTGCCCAGCGTTTGCGGTTTTAGCCATGTCACCAGTAGCAACAGACCAGGAGCGACATTTCTGTTGACAAAATTTGCAGTGCACTCACGCGACATCAAAATCGATCTCAAATATGGTGGTGCAAATTATAAAGCTGAAATGCTAGAAATGCACCGGCGCACCGACAAATACATGAAAAGGAGAGATAAAAAGAGAAAAAGGAAAAGAAGCAGGTAGGATTGAAACATAGACTTTGGTTCTGATGAGCTTTGTTCTACCCGTATCGTGATTGGTTCTTGCATATCCAGTCTACTGACGTTCCTATACTATGTTCTGGGTTCGAAGCAGGATCAGCACTGCTTAAGTAGAACTAATGTTCTTAATATCGGGAACGAAGGTGTTGTTTCAAACTAAAATGAAAATGTGGTTAGAGAAAGTTACACTGGCTGATCAGGTCTGAATCAAGAGAGTTATTTTCTCTTGGTCTGACAACAGAATTTAATGGGACAGAGACGGAGGCGATGAGATTGGTTCTTTTATAATGATGATGAAATTTCAGATGGAAATTTGGGGTTTACAGACCAGATCAATCTTTCTCAAAATGGGGATAAAGAAGAACTCGTGGTCGCCGATTACTTCAATGATCTTTCATTACGAGCTAGTGGTGAGCTCCCCAGATTACCCTTGAGAAAGGTCACCAGTGTTGAGCCAGGACATACCATCAGTCTCACTTATGCAGCGGGTATACTGTACTGCCAATTTCAATAAGAGTAATTCGTTGAGACGTTTTGAAGTCGAGCTTTTTCTGTTTGTGTGAATAACCTGGACATAAAATTTCGGGGATCATGCCGCTTAGCTTCGAGCAAGACTAAATTGTAGAGCAAAACAGTGACTTATGCATCGTATATTTTTGTGTCTGCTTTCCAGGCGAGCGCGAGTAACACACGCAAGGAACTTAACCTTTGCCCTCTTCCCTGACACATCGCTAAAAAATAGTTGAATAAAGGATGTTCGGTGGGGTGAAAAGCTGCCAGGATTATCGTTTAGACGTTTGAAAAAGCTAGACTTGGTGTGAGCAAATGCAAAGAAAAAAAAATCTTGATTAGGTGCAACTGGGGGAAAAAAGGCCCCCAAGTGATTCTTGGCGCCAAAGCAAAAGTAGTGAAAGGACACGACTTAGTTACGATTAGTACCAACCACCGGACCGGGGTGGAGCAATAAAGGTATAACACGTAGAACCTGAATAGTGGAGTGTGTATTGCATAGACAAACAAAAAAAGGCAAATTGGGTGGGATAAGTCTAAAATTATCATCACTAATCGATGTTACCACCATCGCCTTTGTTTGGAAGCCTGGCATATCAACTCCGCCCACGCTCCTTTAAATCTTGGTGATGGCGGCTTACTACCTGACGCCTATTTACACCTCGTCAAGAAAAGGGCAGCTGATTAGTAAGCATATAAAATGACCTCTTGCTGCAGAGATTAGATCACCCCTGATGAAGGCACTAGACAGGAATGTCGAAAATTTGGGTCTATAAATTGTAACTTCTCGGCGACATTCATTAAATGTCTAAACTAGGGTTATATCAAACCATGTCTGATTTAAAATTCAATAAAGTGTTGTTGAGTAAATTTTATTTGACGAGAAATACAATAATTTTCGATGGAAAGGTCAAAGTCGAGACTCATATCGAGATCATTTTCCTTTTTTAGTGGGCATAACATCTATTTATAGCACTTGAAAACTTATTTTAGTTGAGAACATTTGTCCCATTACTTCAAAACTTTTGTTAACTGCATCTTTTGACTTGTTCTATTCACCTCGCTCCCGGCTTATTTTATTGCTAGGGACCTGTCCTATAATGAGTTGCAGTTTTTGCCTCGAGGGATAGTTAACAATACCGTTAACCTGACAGAACTGTAAGTAAAACTGATAGTAATTAAAAAAAAAAACAAAAAAGAAACAAAAAAAACGAAAGAAAAGAAAGGTTACAGGTCCGATATAGATAGTTAATGATGGTGGTCTTTATCCACTTGAGAAATTTGCTTATTTCTGCTTCGACGTGATTCGCTATCGGATGAATGTATTGCATCGTCTTATAGCCGATGGCTACCTGAATGGCGATCTTGAATCACCAAGATTTCAAAACAATTAGCAATCTTATCCCAACCATACCAAATTATTTCTGGATACTTATCACGGGCGAAATCATGATTTCAACGCAAACTACTCCAGCTCATATAAACTTTTGCGCTCAGTAACCTGTCCATCTACCTGACTAGCAATCAGTACAAAAAATTTCCGTTTCCATGCGGATATAAAGTGGCAAATAGTTAAGATAAAAAAAATTTTAAAAACAGAAGTGAATATGATAGAAATAATACCTGCCTCATCTTATCACTAGCACTTATAGCTCGAATTCAGTAAAGTGGTCAGTAACATGTCTGATCTTGTTACAAGTCTTGTTATCTTCAACTTTGCAATAACAGTACAAAGTAAATCAGATTAACCCATTTGTTTTTTAACTCTTACGGTTTCCTTCTCACCTTTGCAGTTTCCTGAACAACAACAACATAAAGAACTTTTCCTCTGATCAACTACCTAAAACTTATTGGTGGGAATATAAATTTAAAAACCTGTAAGTTTTGTGGCTTAGGAATCTTTCCCCGCTTGAGTTAGTAATTCTACCATATCTAAGGTCTAAAAAAATTCAAGCCACAGATCCTTCTTTATGACGGGGACTATAAATAAAACCATCAACTCTCAATCTTGATAGGAAATTTAGGATACTTTATTTTATTGTATTACAACCTTTTCTTTCAGCAGATGTGTTTTTTAGACCCCATTTATATAGTCTCGAGTACACGAGACAACCCTTCCCCCACCCCGCGGAGAAAACTTTACCGAACGTTTATATGAAATTTTACATCTACCAACCCTCGTTCGGCCAGGCCAGGTTAAATTTTTCTTTAGTCTGACTGCAACGTTGTCGATGGCTCTTGATATTTTCATGGTGCTACTTTTGTAAATGGAAATCAATGCCGAAATGTTGATAGCCTCAGCCGCCTTTAAGTTTTTTTGACCTTAATGTGAGAGTTTGAACAAGTTTTTAGTGTTATTTCTCAGATGATTAAAATCATTTTGATTCGAATGTCTTTTTTGCTTTGGGAACCAAAAAGTTGCTGGAACGAAGGATTCTTTTATAATCGCGATGACTTTCCAATTCCAGCCTCTGTTTTTGGGAAGGGTCAATCGCCCTATATAGCAAAAGAGACAGTGAGCGAAGTGCGCTCAACATAGCCTTAGACCGTTATTTACTTTCACGCGTTCAAAACTTTCTGCGAAGAATAAAATTTGACGTTGATAAGCGAATATCAATTACGTTGATCCGTCACTCAAAGTTTGAAATAACTTTCACTATCTCAACAACTTTCCGTTATTCAATTGATTTTTTTCACGCTTGGTTTCGTAATTTGTTTCAGAGATTCATCACTCTGTTGAAGAATCAAACTAAGTTAGAGTAACCCTGGATGGTTTGTTACGCAACCCGAAAAACACTTTTGAGATTTCGACTCGTTAAAATTAGTTAAATACATCCATCGACAAAACGAGACGTCTAAACATAAATAAGCAAATGGTTTACTAAGGTCTATCGGGGCCCAGTTCTAAGTTGTGGGCATTTTGGTACCGTGGAGAGGATAACCGGCGGTACGAAACACGTAGGGAGTAGCCTTAAGATCTGTCAAAAAACAATATACTTGGTTCTAAAAGTTTCCCATCAAAAACATGCTACTTTCTGTAGAAGGACCTTTTGTTCTGGTGAATTTCTATGATATCCTTAAGGAAAGAAAATAAATTTTGGCAAGGCCGGCATGGTGATTGATAGGCTAAGAGCATCGAAAGATTTTGATGGGCGGGAAAAAACAGTTAACCCCTTCACTGGATTTTGATGGGCCATCTGTGTACGAAGAAATCGTTTGCGAACTTGAACTATAACATGGTCTAGTTAATTTTAAATACAGGGGAATGAATCTACTTTGTTACCAAAGCAATGAAAACTGTAATTAGTTTCTTAACATTGCACGTTTTTAGTCTCAAGAAATGAGCGCTTGTGTTCAAATATTTCTGACTTCCAATGTTAACACTCGTATTGTTTTCATCTTTGGCTGAATCCTAAGAGATTCAAACGCTCCAAACTGAACAATTTAGGACCGTCGAGAAAATAACTTTATCTTTTATGCAGAACCCTAGACTTCAACAAACTGGAGACACTTCCTTCTGACACATTCAAACGCTTCAAGTTAAATGATCTGTAAGTGTTTTGCTCTAAAGCTTAATAAAGTTGACTGTCGCTGACTGTTACGAAAAGTTGTCTAAGTTAAGTCCTAGAACATTCTATTTAACAGTCTAGAACCCGAATTCATCCAGACGTGACCTTCTTGTATAAGAACATTCTGGAACGTTCTATTTCTTATGTAATTACACAGGTTTAGAAACTGTGTTAACTTACTAAATTTAGTTCGTTGGAGAAGTTTCTAGATCCTTGGACTTTATGTATATAAGAGCGATAGTTTCATCGAAAAAAACGAAAATTGTGAAGAAGCTTAGTGCTGTAAAGTCAGGAAGTCAACTACGTGGAAATAAATCAGTTTGTTGCTGTTACCGACGATCCTGAGTTTTGTCTAGGAACAACCCTGCTCTACATTGACACTCGTAACACTGACTTAGTTAGATTATTCTTCCTATGTCGTCCTTTTATTCATAGTTTCACCCTCTTTAACTCAAACCCTTTACGAACTTTCTTTTGTGAACATGTAAATGTATACTAACCACCCAATAAACTTGACAAACAGCAAGTACTTGTGTAAATCCGCTTGAGCAAATTCCGCTAGTCAATCGCCAAATTAACTAAATCCTGCGAGGCGGATTCTTAGAAACACAAGAGTAGATGTACTTGGCCTGCTGGACTCAACAACAAAAAGACCTGTTCAAGCAGTCAATGAGTTTATGCACATTTGTACGGTAGTTTTTCCCAACAGGAGTGGCATGTTTTCAGTGCAAGCATCAGGCAAATAGTTAAGCATCTTGCAGGCTCTAGTCAGCAGAGAGAATGAAAGTCTTTTCAAATGCTAATGGTATTCAACTTTAATACGTTTTACAGGTGGCTTGGAAACAACAACTTAAAAAACTTATCTGAAGATCTATTCACTGGGCAAGATGAGTTAAAATATTTGTGAGTACTGGTGATTTGGCATCCTTATAAAATAATATTTGTCAAGTTATTTGCTCTAATTTGTCTCTGACATAATAGCCTGTTAGCATTCATTTATTCACACATAAACATGACCAGCACTAAAGAAATGAAAAATATTTCAGCGTGGAAACCTCGAATGCGTTACACTTTTCGATAATTTGAAAGGCACAATTCCACTGTAATCTGCAGGCTCAACTATTAAAGGTTCTGATCAAGAGGACAAACAAAGGTGTTTAACACAATGCTTCTATCATTTAATTATCACTGCCTGTTTAGAGAATAGTGTTTTGTGGCACGTTACTTCATGAACGTGCGAAACTGATTCAATATTACCTCAGACTGACTACGAGGTTTTTGGAACCACTATGTTGTTTAACAAAAATTAGTTGTGGTATATTAGATGACTAGAAAAACGAGTTAAAAGCAAAAACCGAAGAGTAACTTATTTAATTCCCGGAGTCATTTTGGAAAAGAAACCGCGCAAGTACTATAGCGAGGCTGACGCTGACCGCGAACTATAAGCCTCTGGAGAACAGCGCTCTTTCGGAAGAATAGTTTGCACTTTCATTCTTTAACGCGTACGACATGATGATAATAGTATTCAAGGACGAGAAATTGTAATAACATTCATAAACTAAAAGTGAAGGATACGAAGAAAAGTTTGCGCTCTAATTCAGACTTTGTGTTAATAGTAAACTAATAAATGAGACCAAAAATGGGGATAGAGTTGATGATGGTGGCGGTTTTTATTACGATTAGATAATCAGAAAAATCCCTGCACTCGGTTGGTCTACAAACATTCGTAACCTTTCCGAAGTATATTTCTGTCAGAAGTCGACTACAGTGTCGTATCACCTCGGAAATACGCTCACATTGTGCCGAAAGGTACCAAATACAACTAAGAAACTCAACTTTGTGAAGGGGAAATGAAAAGAACAGAAAGTAAAATCTATGATGGAAAGACCTACGTGAAAGCCAGAGTTGTGCGGTCGATGAAAACGACGCCGTTAAAAGTTGCAGTAGAGTTCACGCCTTGATGTGAAATTTGCGATTCCGTTCAGGAGAGCGTGCAATACCAGTTTTAAATCGTTCTTACTTGGAAAGGCGGTAGAAGGGTGAAGCAAAAAAAAACTTTTAAAATAAAACCGATTACATCAGATTTGATCTCGGTCTTTAATGAGAGGGTTTGCTGGTTTAGCTTAATAAGCAGATAATCTTTTAATCAATGACGGCAGGTCGTTTCCGAGCGAAAGCGAGTCAAATGAAAAGTTGTTGTCAGACTATTGTCAAAGGCTTGGCGCATTCAAACTAAATAACTGTCAAAAAAAACAAACAAAAAAAAGAGGAATAATGATGAGTGACAAACTGATCCTCACAGGATTTAAGCAATTGTAGATAGTAATGCCCTGTCTAACACAAAATTCTATTTTCAGTCTTCGCCTTCTGTTTTTGCCTCATTTGCAATTATTTTATGTGAGAATCAATTGATATTCCATTACCGATTTGTTACCCTGAAACTCACCCTTAGTCTAACTTTTGTCAATTTAGATCTTTTTTATCGTTTTCGTAATGTAGGCGGTTGAGTGGCAATCGGCTGGAGAAGCTGCCTCCAAAAATTCTTCAAGGATTGTTCGCCTTGGAGGAACTGTAAGCGATATTTCTTTCCGAAAATCTTGGTCAATGAGGACATCTCTTTCTTGTGCATTGCGTTTGTATGCGATCTATTGCTTTCAAGTCGTTCAAAACGTGGTTTTAAAACCTTTCCTTCTTAATTGAACCAGTCGATCATGGATTTTGATCCTTTGTGCCTTTGTGTATGAGTAGTTCAAAAAGGGACTGTTCAAATTTATGTGAAACCGGTAACTGGTATTTCAACAACGTTAATGAAGGAAGTGATTATACTCCATTGCAGAGTTGTTTATCAGTCGAACGTTCTACCGGGTCAATGGGCGTGATTGGGAATGCAGAGCTTTTCTGATTACGAGTTTTGTGGGGTGGTGGTGAGGGATCGGGGGGGGAGGGGGGAGGGGGGAGGGGGGAGGGGGAGACTAAATCCCCGCAAGTTAAAAAAAAGGAGAAACGTTTCTGAGCCGTCGATTTTTACCTCTTCCCTCTTTCTCATTAACAAATGGATTCCATTTTGTTGTGCATCTGTTCAACAAGACGTTACAGATGCTGCAAGAACAAAAGAGAAGCACAAGAAGCGCAGCAGTTTCTTACCCTTTACTTAAGGAGAACCGTAGCCTTTTTTTATTGTGAGTCATATGACATTGGGCGTGTCATGTTGACGTCATTAACGGACTTCAATAACTTTCCAAAGTTAGCTAAGTATCAGCAAAATAACGTCGAATTATAACCAACTGAATTCACCCGAGCAACTGCCTGAAAAGAAGTGCAATGGCCCTTAAAGTGATCATTATTATTATTTCACAATTGCGCCGCCCATACTAGGGCAACGGAGCACACGAAATATGCCAAGTGTTACACAGGGAAAATACGGACGGAAAGCGGAGTAAAAAAATGGCCACACTGAACGATCCACACCTTGACTTTTTAAGCGCTCCAGAATTTGTAATTTGTTCACTGTAACACTTTGACGATTTCTCTCGTGTTGTTTTTGTCTAACGCTTATGCGATCGATACCAAGCTCAGATAAGGCCGAAGGATGTATTTCGAAAACCAGAAACCAAAATACTAGAAATTGAAACAGTAGTGGAATGATAAATCCCTTATTCGATGTTTAACACATAATACGATTGAACATTTTGCTTATTGCTTGCATTTTCTTCGCCCTCGCGGAACTCGGAAAATAGTTCTACGAAACTTGCACAACACTCGCCCGTATAATAATTATGTTGAATTATCGAATAGGGCGGATTTGTTTACCAAAAGTAAAAGCGAAGAAAAATTGGATCGCAAAATTTTATTATTTTTCCAGAGGAATTCTTTAAGTTAGAAATTACTGGGCGGAGAAAGAGATAAACACTTACGTGAAGACCTATTTACAAGTTTAAGCCGATACATTTCACTTAAAAATAGGTTTCTTTCTTCATTTATGAGATGATTAGATAGAAAACTCGATGAACTGCAACTGAATAAATTCTATCAGATAAGAATTTCGTCCGAAACAGTTACCCAAGATTGAAATAACTGAGTTGACATTCTTCTGAAGATAACTTTCCCAATGTCTTCCAAATAAAGTCGTTGCACACAGCAGGGGAAGAACTTGATAATATGTCCCGTGGAAATGTAGTTTGTTATCTGGGACTCTCTTTTTCCTTTGTTTGTTTTCTTACTGATTATCATCTCATTCTACAAATGTTAGGGACTTGTCCTACAATCAGTTGCAGAATTTTCCTCCAGGGATACTTAGCACAAATACCAAGCTGAAAGAATTGTACGTAGGACTTTTCCTTGTACTAAAAAAACAGGTCAAACCTAAACTTTTAAAATTATTTGAAATCTCGCATATTTCCGCTTGGAATGCGGCTTTATTTGGAATAAATTACTGAATCAGGTATTATTTTGCGATAGATGCCGCATTATTTTAATGTACGAGGTCTTTCTGCCATTATTGTCTTAAGGAAAGGTCTATCAGCTTTAAGCATGTAATAAATATATTCGTTGAGTCCAGTTGTTTCATACTAGAGATTCTTAATTATATTTGATGTTTTTAAAGACAGACAGAAAAACTTTTCCTTTCCTGATTTGGTAAAAACAACTGGTGTTTATTGTTCGTTATCCGGTTTGGCTCCTGTCCGGCACCTAAGTGAAACGTTTAAGGGGGAGGCCTAGCCTATTTTCCAAATAACATTTGTGTTCTTGAAAAGCTAGCTAACTCTTTACCTCAATAAATACTCTAAGGGATTTGTCAAACAACGAAATTCAGCGTCTGCCCATAGATGTTTTTGGCAACCTTACCCGGATGGAAAAGCTGTAAGTAGCATTCAGTAGAAACTTCACAGCAAAGGGAATTA